GTGTGGTTGTGGGGGGGGTGTTTTTTTTTTTTTTTTTTTTTTTTTTTTTTTTGCTACAGGAAGTGATTTGCAGTGTTCACTGAGCCTTTTGTTGAAAAGGGTCCTTCTCATTTGTGTGAGTCATGCTTTTGCTGTGAGCGAGTTGGCAGCTCTAAGCAGGACTGGGATCTCTGTCATAGAAAACTGTTACTTCACCCAACCTTAACGGGGAACCATAAGAAATTTCTTAAAAATACATATTTTTTTGTTCTTCCTTATACTCTTCTCTTTTTTACCCCAAAATCTTGTTATCCTTCCGTGTTATGAATCGCCTGCTATGTTAGCACAGGCGTCTCCTGCGTTGGCATCAGATTTGCCAGAACATATGCAGGCAACCAGATAGAAGGGCATGCTTCAACGTACCAAGTATAACCGCTTCAGGAATGATTCGGTGACATCAGTTGATGATCTTATTCACAATTTGTCCATGAACAGCAAGGTCTCAGCAGTTGCTACGACTTCAACAGCACCTTCATACCTGGTCTCACCAGAGGTTCTCCGCAAGGACCAAGAAGATGGACCCACCACCCTATGTACCCTCATCCATAAAGTGTCCCACTTGAAACTCTCTCACACGGGCAGCCTTTTGGGTATCAAAAACCTCTCCTCTGCAGTAAAGGAGCTTGCTGTCTCCAAGTTGCAGGGAAGCTCGAGTGCTTCTAGCTCAGCAGCAGGGGCTTCAGACAACACATGTAACCTTGTCTCTGCCACTTCGTGTTCTCAGCAGGACGTGAGCAAGATGAGTATGGGGAAAAAACCACGGTCAGAGGAAATGCACCCCGGAGGTGAAGACTGGAATCAAAGTAGCAGCTTTGTCAATAAACCCTCTCGAGGATGGCTGCACTCGAGTGAGAAGATCCTGGGACCTGGTGTGACATACATTGTGAAGGTTGGTCTGATTTCTTCCATTCTCTGTTTTTATCAATGAAAAATTCTCTGCTGGTTTTGATGACAGGCTAGACAGGCTGAAAGGATCTCTATTTGTATATTCCTTTTTTTGTGCATAATGCGTGGTATGTAAATGCAGGAAGGCAGGGTTGGGAAGCTGTGTTAATTTGTTAAATTAGAGCAAATCTGCAAATAGGTTCTTTGTCAGATAATGTTCTACAGCTGTGTAAAAATACTGTTCCTAAGCTAAAAAGCTCATTTTCTTACTTTTTGTTTTGGTTTTTTTTTCCTTCTTCTGAATTTAGGTTTTCAGTGTTATCTAGCATACTGTATATATCTTGGATACATAGGCTTTCAATATGTCTGGTACAATATGCAGGAGGAAAGAGACTCCTTGATGTGTGAAGAACTGTTAATCTTGCATGATATTTCAGTTTGAAAATACCTCTAAGGATATGTGTGTTTTTAATGTGAAATTATATTAGAAATCTCAGAGCAGTAAGGCACAGAGTGCAATTCTTACCATGTTCCACAAATAGAAATACTGTTGTGGGTAGAGCAGGAAAATGCAGCTTGTTTTACATAATGAGAATTCAGCCACCTTAAATGTTATTGCTCTTTTCAGTTCATTGATACAGCATGTCAAGAACAGAGAATCCTAAGTTTACAGGGTAATGTTTCCATAAGCTTTGAAAGTATTTTGAAATGACCTGTTAAATTAGAGCCTTTGAGAGAAGGGTATGTGCAGTGTTTTTGTAGTCAGGTAAGATTCTGGTTACACCTTCCAGCACAGTGTGCAGAAAGTGTAAAAATAACGTTCTTGTCCAGAATTCATTCTTCAGTCACCATGTTTTATGTGCCGAATGGCTTCTGTATCTTAAGTGTTAAGCTGTTTTGTAGCAGACTATTAATAAGGTTACAGGTCTATTTTTAATCTCATCTTATTTTGGGTATAAAGTCACAGTGTGACTTTATATCAGGATGCTTTAAAACTGAGTGACAGCCTCGTTGCTTAACTCTCACTGTTTTTTCTCAAGTCTCATTATCAAAAGCAGAGTGGATATTTAACAGTTGGAGCACTAGGAAGCAGTTTTCGTTTCTTTCTGTTAGTGGTGATGGTAGATTTTGCAAGTGATGGTAGATTAAGTTGGCCAGTTCAGAGCATTATTGAAATTGTACTGTCTTTTTTACTACTCTGAAATTTACTGGAACTACAAAAGGGTCAGTGCTACCTTTCAGAACACAAACTGCTGCTTTGTTACTGTTCGAGAAGTGTCTCAATAAAAATAACCCACTGATGCTGGACATAGTGGTGTTGAGACCCCGTTGTTCTTTTGCACAGAAATATTCTGGTTAACGGAAGGTCATTTACCATTTTCCCATTAGCTCAGAGAACTCAGCTATTTTATTTTTTATTTTGCTTAGGATATTGTAAGTAGGCAGATAATGACTGTGAGAATTCACTGCTGCTGTTTGTTTTACCTGAAGTGATCATTATGAAGCAGAACAAACACAGTATTTATTTTCTTAATTTTTTCAGTGGTTGACCTTCTGTATGCTAGAGGAAGCTGATATCCTTGAATTGAAAAGAGAATTAAAATTATATACAAGTGGACTTACATTTAAAGTTAATAATTAACTCATATCTAATACTGATATTAGAACAAATATTTTAATTAGCGCAGCTGGTATCAAATACATGAAAGTGTATTTATACACATTATGCGTATTAGAATTTTCAAAATAAATCATTAGCACCATACAACTTACATTTTAGGTGTTTGTTAATGTCATTAAAATGTATGGAACCTAGATTATTGTTTCTGTTAAAAAAATAGGGTGATATCTTTAACTTCATGCTCTCTGGCATATGGAGTCACAGAACAGTGCTCTAAATGTAAAAACAAGGGTTAAAAATAAATATAAAAATCCGTGGTTAATGAATGAATGAAAATAAACCGGTCCTGGTTAGTTCATAATTTGCCTGTGCATTAAGTATCTCAGAATTTTCCTCAGCAACTGTAGATAAGAATAGAAGTGCAGTTCCCACATCATTAAACATTGTTAGTTCCCAGGGCTTTTATGCATTCAGACCATCAAATCAATACATAGATAATGTACACTGAAGGGAAACGTTCCTTGGATACCTCATGGCTATATTGACTATGTGGGGGACTTGTACCATGTTTAATTAGTACCATATGCCTTACAGAAAATTCCATATGCCATTAGTTAAATGAGACAAAAATTAGATTTGTTGTTAACCAGCAAAGCTTTTATCATTTTGTGTGTAAATGTGCACTGGGTTACTATTTTCTCATCAACCCACATTCAAAACATGAAAATTACCTACGGGACAGGGTAAATTGTAACTACTGGGCAGTTTGATAACTCACATTGGAATCTTCTGAAGTAAGAGACGCGTAATTCCTATGTGCAATGTGTGACAAATCTGTAACTTTACTGCTGTCCCCACCTTTTCACATATTACCCATTTTTTAAACGGGCAGTGTAACTCTAATGCTTAAAAACGGGTGCAGGATGATGGTAAACAGGAACTGTGTTCTGATCTTCATGGTCTGCTGCGATGGAATTATTTTCAGCCATAAAAATACTGGCACTTTCTGTACTCTTTTTTTCTCCCTATGGATTTCATGTTGCATTTTTATGTATTATTTTAATGGGAAAATTTTCACAAAACCAAAAATACATTTTTGTAACAAATTAGACAACAACCATAGCCGTATTAGGGGACATAAAGTGGTGAGGTACTGATACTTTACTTAATACTACTGCTGAACAGTTTAACAAATTATGGATTAATGAAAAAAAATGAAATAGTTTGCTGTGATGGAAGTCATTGAACAGCTCAGTGTTTTCCCCATAGAGGGACTGCTTACTATAGGGAGCGATTATAAATGTTCATGTTGTCAGAAAAATAAATACATATAATAAAAAAGTGTAAAACTGTGTAATGTAACAGTAGTTAAATGTTTCAGTGAAATCTGTTTGTTTCTGATGATAAATGTTTACTGATGAGTTTAATTGGGTAATGGCATAGACGCTTTGGGTTTTGTTACATTTAATTAAGAGCACAGTCAACAGTCAAGAGGCAAATGTATGTCTGTCTTTAGGTAGCTCGTGGTTGGGTTTTGTAACAAGTGTTGATGAGCTTAAAATGCTGTTTCTCAGCAGTTCAAAGCTAAATAAACCCAAAATACTATAGCATAATTTTGTAACCCTATATACAATATATCCGAAAGAGCTAATGAACCATAAAACCAAGACAGTGATACAGAACAGACCTGGGTAAATCTAGTGTTAAAAAACAGATGCAAAGATAGTATCTGAGAGGTAGGAAGGAAAAAGGACTTCATCTAAAAGAAGCGCCACAGGCCAGGCAAATAATATTTCAGTGAAAAGCATATTAAATTATTAATATTATAGCAAAGTATCTAAAGAGTGTAATCCTAACTACAATTATTTCTTTAACATTTTAACACTTTCATGTCTTGGGAGGGTATAACAGCGATTTACATCTGGTGAGGAAAATAGGCATCTTTTGTGAATTTGTTCAAATACATCACCAAGTAAAAGCTTCAGTTCTGCAAACATTTCTGCATGACACTGTTTATGGGAATATTCTTATTGAAATAATTGAGGCTACTCCTATATGCTGAAAGTTAAGTATGTGCTTAAGTATGAACTGAATTGCTGTGTTGCATGCTCTTATTGCATCCTTTTATTCTGACCTATAGTATTCCCTTCAGCGTATATGCAGGGCAGCTGTGATTTTAGCAGATCTCTGCAAGTAGACACAGAATTTACAAAATTACTTTTCTCTCTAGTGGCTAACCCAGACTGAGAAGCACAGCCTTAAGTGGAGCTAACATGGTGGAAACTGCAACATATGTGGCCTTCCCCTAGAAGACTTCAGGGCTCTTTGGAAGAATGTTCTCTTTTTTTCTTTCTGCTCTAACTAGAATTGATTTGTTGCTGGTTTGAAGTAGGAGCAAGATACCAATGCTTCGTGGCTTTGTCGTTGTACTCTTTGCTCACCTGTTTGAAAGATATCCAGTGTAGCCTGTAAGAAAAAAAGAAGAGGGTTTCTTGCTTCCTTCTTACTCCTTTAAATAGACACAAAGTCAAATTTACAATCTACTTGTTAAAAAAAAAGAATATTAACATTACAGCAAGAGTTTTTAGTTTCTTTTTTTGGTTGACGCTAAATTTATCTTCATTATAGAAAAATTTGTGCAAGGTTTTTTTGTTTGTTTGTTTGTTTGTTTTAATCAGATTTAAATTCTGCTTCTATCAGTCAAGTTGCAGTAGTGTTAATGGTTAATCACTGATAGTTTGACACGGCCTGAGTAAAAACATGCTCAGTAGGATTTTGTGCATGTGATTCTAATAATAAAGAGCACAGTCCCAAAGCATCCTGCTTGTAATGAGGTTTACATGTTTAAGAAGTGGGTTGTGTGTTTCAGCCATATGATTATACTAGGACTGAATACTGATCCTTTAGTTCAGAGTCTGCTATCCTTAACCCAGGTACCCAAACAGTATTAGCCAGAGCTCAAAGACTTACGAAACTGGCTTATCACTGTGGATTTTAAAGCTGCATGCATGCAGGTTAGTCTCCCCTAAGTAAGTGTACAAAGTAAGAGAAGTAAGTGACAGAGACAGCATTGGTTTTTGCAATTGATCCCTCCTAGTATGCCATATTTCCTTGCTATCCGTTAGTATCTTTAGCATTTTCTTTCACTGTTATTTGGGCTATGAAAGAACAATACTGATGCCTGTTGCTCTGTCGAAAACCTCTTTTGAGCTCCATGGATCTGAAACACTGTGGGTCTGTTGTACAGCCAACTGATATGAAAGAAGCATTTCTCACAGAAATTAAATCAGATCCTATGAGCAAAAATCATACAGTAGAGTCTTTAATTATAATATTATTCTAATTACATGAATCAAGTACTATTACTGTACATTTGCACACCT